AGATCAAGCCTCGACGGCCCTTGAGGAAATCACAAGTTCGATTCAAGATCAAGCGTCCACCATATTTGAATCAAATCCAGTTCAAGAATAAGCTGTGGAAAATCAACAATTGGAGGAATCCAAAAAAATCCTCCAACCCAGTTCAAGATCAAAGCTGTGGAAAGTCAACAAAGCGCAAAAACAAATACGTGCCGATTCATCCACTACCAAAGCCAAAGATCATCTACCACATAAAGCTCCTTGTGGTCCAATTTCAACCTTCAAGATCAAGCCTCGACGGCCCTTGAAGAAATTTCAAACAAAGTCCAAGAACAACCCTCAACGGCCCTTGAAGAAATCTCCAGCCCAATTCAAGATCAAGCCTCGATGGCCCTTGGATTGACAACTACATTAAGGGACTTCAAAACGCATCTCCTACATGTAACAAGCACATGTATACAACGCGCCTTGAAGTGGGGGCATTTGTAGACATTGAAATTTCGGTGGCATAAATGTTAGCCATTGCATTAAGATTACATTTGTAAACATTGAAATTTTGGTGAAATAAATGTTGACCATTGTATTAAAATTACAACCTTCATTCACTTCACCTACATCATACACTAAGTTCACCTACAACATCCACCAAGTTTCACCTACAAACATCCACCAAGTTTCACCTACAACATCCACCAAAATTCACCTACAACATCCACCAAAACAAATGGATGGTGGTGATTCGTTCCCAAAGCCTATAAATAGGCTCCTCCATCAAAGAATGAAGGGAAACCAATTCACAAATACATTTCTCTACTCCCAAAATGGAAGAGAATACTCCCCACACATCCAAAATCCTTGAAGCTTTGAAACTCTAAAGCTTTCAAGCATCCAACCTCCCAAATTCAAGCAAATCCCGAAGGATCAAGAAAGCCCTCTTCGTTCTTCGTCAAATCCTCCTTCAAGATCAAGCCCCAACGGCCCTTGAAGAACTTCCACTAATTCAAGATCAAGCCTCGACGGCCCTTGAAGAAAGTGTTCAACAAATCCACACAACTGTTCATCCTAAGATCAAGCCCCGACGGCCCTTGGATCAACAATCACCAATTCAAGATCAAGCCCCAAATGCCCTTGAAGAACTTCCACCAATTCAAGATCAAGCCCCGACGGCCCTTGAAGAAAGCACCATCGTTCATCATCCGTTCATCCAGGATCAAGCCCCGACGGCCTTTGGATCAACAAACATCAACAAATCCACACATCCAACCGTTCTTCAAGATCAAGCCCAAAAGCCCTTGAAGATCCGTTCATCACCGTTATTCAAGGTCAAACCTTAAACGGCCCTTGAAGAAACACTCATCCTCAAGATCAAGCCCCAACGGCTCCTTGAAGATCCGCTCAAATCCACCTTCAAAGATCAAGCCCACGACCCCTTGAAGAAACTTCCAACAGTTCATCCAAGATCAAGCCTCGACGGCCCTTGGATCAACGAAACATCCACAAATCAACACCTTACGGAGATCGAATCAGAGGATCAAATTTGAGAGAGATTGTAACTCAAAATCATCAAACACAAATATTATTTTGTGCATGTTGTTCTTGTCTCTTTCGTTTCAGGAATTTTCCGTGTTCACAATGTCTCCATCTGTACAATACCAAAATTGTACGCATCCCCTATCGTCAAAACAATTCCTTCCATCCCAAACTCTGCAAAATTCGTATGTGAACATAGTTATATATGATAAAAAGAAAATTAGAAGTCATAATTAAGAGCATATGAAAATTTTAAAACTACATCACCTGGAGCCATATACCCAATCGTGGCTAGGGTCATGGTTTCCGTCATCGAATCTCCATCGCCAATGGGTCTTGCAATGGCAAAATCAGCAGCATGTGCAACCATATCATCATCTAGTAGTATATTGCTTGGTTTTACATCACAATGTCCAGCTCCGTGAGCTTGGAAGCATTGGAGAGGTTAGGGAGTACTCTGGCCACGAGGTTATTTCTGGCTACATAAGGGAGTTCTAGGTTTGGAACCCTAAGACCTATGTTTGCAGGGAGGCTACCTGAGACTAAGAGCTGATTAAAAGAAAGCCTTACTTCTCTTATCAAGGAGTTGTTGAAGAGTTTGGATGGGATGACGCCATTGAGATTATTACACTCCAATACCAAAGTCTCTTTGGAAGATCACTAATCTCATCCAGTATTGTACCTGTCGCAATTTCAGCGCGTTTGCATTAACTTTGTAACTTCAATAGAACTAAAAAATAAAAACGAAAGCCCTAATGAGAATTGACGAAGCTTTTTGCATTGCCACAGTTTGGAGGGAATCAGATGGTCAAGTTGGTTTCAAGTCAATGAAATAATCGAATACTTGAAAGATGCTCACATATTTTGTCTGGAAGACTGCCACTCATGTTGCACAAACAACTCTTCCAGCTGATCTAAACTGCCCATCTCGTTCGGAAGTTCTATAAAATGAACCCGTATGTATATATATTGTTAAAATCATGTATATATATATATATATATAGGAGAAGCTTCTTAGTACGAATGCCATTGAACTGTGGCAAAAATGGAATAACATTATAAGGACCATGTACTCACCATTTAGGGCCTTCTTTTTTCTCTAGAATACGAGCGTCTTTCACGGTAAGTATACGATCCCTACAATAATCCTCTCATCTCAATTTTGTTAAAGTAAAACAAGATCCCTACTAAGAAGAGGCTCGTATATATAAGCAACAAAACCTAAGTCATATAGTATGCCTTCGAAATTGTTGTAGTCAAGGTATATCCCCTTCACCATTGTTAAGTTGCCTATTTCTCTGGGTATGCTACATGTTAGAAACCCTAGGTGAGGAGGAATGATGACACCAGTGAGACCGATGTAAGAAGGATTCAAGGGCACGACTTTCAGGCGCTGTACGCCGTAAGTAACGCCAACCCAGTTGCAAGTGAGAAATCAGCGGTCATGATGTTTTGTCTTGTGGTGGTGGTATTGGTAACATGTGCTGCTAGCGGACGAGTTCTATCCATTTTGTTCACAAGACGCGCAAATGTGGAGTTGTGGTCTTCAGTTCACACACTCCATCAAAACAAAGAACGTAGAATTGTGATCTCTGCAATGCACTCACAAACTCTACTAAAATTTCTTATATTCTTGGTAACTGAAGGGTCGTTTGACAACTATTTAGTTTTATTTTTATTTTTATTTTTTCAGTTTCATTTTAGAAAACATGAAAACTTGTTTTGCAACTGCTTTCATTTAAAAAAAAAAATGAAAACAAAAAACTAAAGGCTAAATTTTGGAAACTCAAAAATGTAGCTACCAAACATGGTTTCAATTTTCAAATTTAATAAAAAGTGAAAAAAAAACCGAAATTTTTACTTCTCACACACATCTGTTAATTTTTGTTATTTGATCTTTTTTAATTCATCCGATCGGACGGCCAAAATTAAAGAGTTGTGTGTGAAGTAAAAAATAATGTGTGGATATCACATCCCAAACTAAATTGTTATCAAATGGCCAGTAAGTTAATATAAACACGAAAGCATACTAAAGTGTCAGTGATGAGGAGCTAATAGCACCTTGGTGATGTAACCCCTTTCCATATTTTGCACATAATTTTTTTTTATACAATCTTGTATTTTTCGATCTTCTTGTAGGTCAAAATTGGCCTTTTTACTTGTACACTTCAATCATCCTACTTCTACAAATTCTACTAAAAAAAAAAGAAAATTAATGAAAAGGGCTTGAAAACTTTGAGTTTTAATGATAAGGACAAAATAAAGTGTAAAGTGAATAGTAACAGGATTGACTTTTTAGTGTAAAAATGTGGTTTTTCGTTAAAGTGAACAGTACCGGGTGCTTTTCGTTAAAGTTCCCAAAAAAAAAATAGGTTAAAATATCTCTTGTTTTTTCTTTCTGGGAATTGTATTGAACTAAGTAATCCACGAAAAAGTTTATTACAGTCTAGTGGCTTTACTTTCCACCTATAGGTAGGATGATTTAAGTTTGACTCACTTGAATGACAAATTTGATACCTAATTATTATGGCTGACTTAGCTAACCCACACTCCACCCTCCTTAAAAATAGAGTATAATTAAAATTAAGAGGAATATGTTGATTTAATCCCTGAACGTGCGAAAATTAAGTCCCTAAATATCTACACGAGGGGGAGGGGGTGGGCTTATACTCACAATGGGCAAGCAATAATGTGGTTCAAATTCATCTTTGGTGAGAAAAGAACCTAAGATCTCTCACTTACAAGTGAAAAATGAATACTATTAGACCGTAGTACTAAGTGGCTCGTCTAAACTTTTAGATTCAAAGCTATTCTTTTTAATTTTCTTTCAATTTAAGTCATGTGAATTGCACATGGTACACTTTAGGGGATAGATTTGTCAGTTTCAATGAGTTTAAGGATTTTTCTAAAAAATAATGTATGAAGTTACATTTGGAGGGTAAATTGACTCTTTATTCTTCTTCTTCTTTTTTTTTTTTTTGTGAACAATAACTATCAATAATGTGGTTCAAATTCACCTTTAGCGAGAATTGAATCTTCATGCCTCTCATTTATAAGGGAATAGGAATAACACTAGATCATAGTACTAAGTAGCAAATTGACAATTAGATCCACAACCTAGAGGTAATGTTAAGAGCTTATCGGTGAGAAAATGACGATATTTTCTCTAAAGGATGTCTGTGTACGACTTAAATTGACAAAAAAGTAATATAATTGCTTCGGATATAAAAGTAGAGATGAAATTGGCAGCTTTTAAAGTGTTTAAGAAAAATAGTTTAACGACCTAATTTTTACTTTGAATAATTTGGGGACTAAAACAGCAATTTATTCAGGGAACTAGACTGTAGTACTAAGTAGCAAATTGGCAGTTAGATCCGCAACCTAGAGGTAATGTTAAGAGCTTATGAATGAGAAAATGACAATATTTCCTCTAAAGGGTGTCTTGTGTATGTCTTAAATTGACAAATAAATAATAATATAATTGCCTCGAATATAAAAGTAAAGATGAAATTAACAGCTTTTAAAGTGTTTAAGAAAAATAGTCAACCTAATTTTTACTTTGAATAATTCGGGGACTAAATCGGCGTTTATTACAGCGTTTACATACAACCAAGTTCTAGTTGAAAGTTCTAGTTGAACTTTCTACGGATAATTATTAATCACGATCGCATGTACAAATTCATTGCTGCAATAACGAAGAATGGAAGCAACAACCAGAGGTTGAAAACTAGTCAGACGTACGTACACCGTCACGCAAACTTGCCGTTCGAGACGCTCTGAATATGCAAGGGCTTCTTATATGACTGCAACAAGAGAGAAGAACATACCACGCTGAGAGATGAAGCAGCCATACATGCACCGGCAAGCCATGGTGGTAGTCGAATTCCAGTGAAAGGGAACAAGACTCCAGCTGCGACTGGCATGCCGAGGATATTGTAGCCCAGGGCCCAGACATAATTCAATCGAATTCGTGACATAGTTTTTCTGGAGAGATCTATGGCTGTAACTACATCTTCCAAGTTGCTCTTCATCAGAACTATATCAGCGGCTTCTATAGCTACGTCGGTGCCAGCACCAATTGCCATGCCAACATCTGCTGCAACCAAAGCTGGAGAGTCATTGATTCCATCTCCCACCATTGCCACCGCCATTCCTTTCATCTGCAGCCAATTTCAGTTAACTGTTAGAAATGGCTAAACAAACTTAATATAGAAATAATGTTTGAAATTTTCTTTAAAACATCAGTTTAATTTAGATAAGTCATTTGAATCTGCATCAAAAAATAAAACAGCGTGTGTAGCTGGGTATTGTAATTTATTCACACCACCCTCGTAACTATTTCATAATCGAACCTGCAATTCTTTGATTCTATCAGCTTTTCCCAGTGGATCCGTCTCAGCATACACCTTATTAATGCCAACCTCCTTTGCGATGGCTGCTGCTGTAGCCCAGTTATCACCAGTAACCATGATGCTGGTAATGTTCATCGAGTGAAGATAAGAGATGACCCGCGCAGCCTCTGGCTTCACTGGATCAGTTACAGCAAAAGACCCCGCAATCTTTCCATCAATGGCAACCAACACACATGTTCGAGCCAGATTCTCATGTTCCGAAACATATTTCTCAACCTCAGGACCAACCTGGACATTATTATGCCGCATGAGTCTCTTGTTCCCAACCAAAACCATTTTTTCACCAACTCTTCCACTAACGCCAGCTCCTGTGTGCACCTCAAAATCCTTAGCCTCCATTACATGTTCAGTTGATCCAAACGTCTTTAGCAGCCTCTTAGCATGCTCCACCACCGATTTCGCTATTGGGTGTTCACTATTTGCCTACATATTTCTCAGATAGAGGAATGTTAGATTGATTGACAAAACAATTTTACAATAGCATATACAGTGACTTATTTCATCCTAACTACTCTACAAACACTAATATTTTAAATGCAACTAGGCAAATGAAGCTTTTAATGTACAAATTTGAAATATAAGCACCAACCTCTGTGGCAATAGACAGCACAGAACTCCTCCATTGAGTAACTGGAGAAGAGCACTGCATTGACTACCACGGGTTTCCCAACTGTCAGAGTCCCAGTTTTATCAAAGACAACTGTTTTCACCTGCAGGGATCAAACGCATGTCAGTAAACGTCCAGACATCAATAAAGTGTCAAATGGTAACAAACGTATCAACCTTCATGACTTAGGTACCATTTGTTCAACTTTTAATTTTAGAAAGGGAAAAAAAACAAAAAGAACGAAACAATTATTAGCCTTGTTATCAGAAAAGGAGTTGGGGAGAACTCTCCCTTAGTGAGAGCTGTTATCTACAAGAAACGGGGATCTAAAACCTGGCAAGTATGGCTTGCTGACATGGACAAGGTGCATACAGCCACCAATCGTCCAGAACCAAAGAATCATATGAGACAGATTCCAACTATGAAATGATAGTTGCATGTTCAATCCCAATACATACAGAAAGAACATCCTTCATACCCAATGACATAGATTGCATTTAGTTTTATGTCAAGAGCCTAAACGTTGACAGAACGGAGGCAGAGCGTTTCACTGGTCAGAAATGAAGTGCATAACTTGTTATATTATGGAACATCAACATAAACTATGTTGGTAGCATAGGTCATACTACAAAATGACCAGACCAATACGAGGAGAGCAACTTCATAACGAAGGAAAGACGAGAAAACAGACTACACTTGCACCCTCAGACATATAGATAGTATCTAATCAGTAATTGTCTTTTCCTAATACCAAAACAAACAGGTTTTTGATAATGAAGCTACACCAGCAAAAAAACATGAAAATCAAATGCATGAAAAGTTGAAAACCCAGATTCTGAATTGAAAAGCAATTTGTTTCCCAGGATAAGGTGGTCTTACCTTATGAGCCTTTTCGAGTGCATTTCCACCCTTGATAAGAACACCTTGCGAAGCACCCTTCCCTGTTGCAACCATTACTGCTGTAGGGGTTGCTAGTCCCAAGGCACAAGGGCAAGCAACTACTAATACTGAGATACCGAATTGTAATGCCAGCTCAAATTTATCCATGCCTTTTGGTATCCAGTTTTCCGGGAAAAGACCAAATTCTCCAGGGATGAACCATCCAAGCCATGTCAAAAATGCTACAATAACAACCTGATGTAGGAAAGAAAAAAGAATCAATCATGCAATTGAAAAATTGTCATAATACGTGATGTACTTTGCCTCCAGCTACCAATTACCCAATTTGTCAAGCAACAAAATTCAACTTTAAACAAAATATGATTTTTGAGGCAGAAAAAAAAAACTCGAAAGTTATTGGATAAAAAGCTCAAAAGCAGAAAACTGGGCAAAAGAAAAGGACAGAAGCCAAAGACATTTAAGGGAAATGAAATAACGAGAAACCTTAAAAGACAATAAGAATAAAAGCAACACCTAGAATATAGGCTACTGATCTTTTAAATTAATAACGGCATTTTCATTAAGAAAAAGCATCTCCTGCTGACAGTCAGATGCAGCTAAGTGCCTTGAATACTTGTCCATATCCAATTTTCAGTTTTAATTTGCTTTTTGGTAAACGTATGATGGGAAAAAAGCAAATAAAACTTCACCCGATGAAATTACAAATTTTTGAAAAGCAGGTAAATATAGCTAAACAAAGTACTCAGTAATTTATCTTATACGAAGCGGTAATGCAACATGGAAAGTTTGAGGATTAAACAAAAAAACTCACTGTTGGAACAAAAAACTTTGAAATCTGGTCAGCTAGTTTCTGAACAGGTGCTCTGGCAAGCTGTGCAGCTTCAACAAGTTGAACTATTTGGGAAAGTGCAGTCTCCGAACCAACATGAGTTGCCTTCACCAGTAAGCATCCATTCTCATTCATAGTGCCACCAATTACCTATGCATGAAAACAAAAGAAAAATGGACTTAGAATTTTTCTTTAGATGCTACAGAACCAAGAAGTAAGAGTCAAAGATGTACTACCTTGTCACCAAGTTTTTTAGAAATGGGTGTTGCCTCTCCTGTGATCATACTCTCATTCACATAGCTGTGACCACGAACTACAATCCCATCAACAGGAACTTTTGCCCCCGGAGCAACCTTAAGTATATCATTTTTTTGAATAAGTTGAGTGCTGATTTCGATCTCTGAGATAACATTGTCATCGTCATCTAATGACAACAGAAAAGCCGTATCAGGAGCAAGGTCTGTCAGCTTCGCCAAAGCATCAGATGTCTTCCCTTTAGCCAGAACTTCTAAGTACTTTCCCAAGAGTATAAAGGATATCAACATAGAACTAGTTTCAAAGAAATCTTGCCCTTCAAATTTATCCAAAGCAAATGCTTTTATTGCAATATAGACAGAGTAAAAATAAGCAACATTGGTGCCCAGTGCAACAAGAACATCCATATTAGCTGATCTACGTCTCAATGCATGATATGATCCAACATAGAACCTGACAGGACATCCAAAATCAATATTTAGTATTTGCTCCTTTAAGTAATTGATTCACAAGTTGTTGCTACAAAACTCATGACAAGGACAAGAAGAATAGAAATATACAAATTAAATACCTCCGGCCAACAATGAACTGCACTGGTGTGCAAAGAATCCATCTTAAAAGCATCCCTACTGTGAGCATATTGTGAACCTTGTAGTCTAACCAGTTTCCATAAGGAGGAAGCATCGGAAGCACCATTGAGAATAAAAATATAGGAACCGAAAATAGGCAGCTAAGGAAAAACTGGTTCCTGTACATCTGAATCTCATGTTTCCGCTCAGCTTCTCTTGGTCTTGGAGGAACATACAAGCTTGCCTGGTACACCTTGGATTCACGGCCAGCTTCTTCAATACAACGTATAAGAGATCTTGGACCTGTGAGGTCTGAATCATAGGTAATAGTCACCTTCTTCTCTGCCAAGTTGACTTCAACATTACTTACTCCTCCAACTGATTCAACGGAGGATTGGACAATAGTCATATCCTCTGGAGAATCAATTCCTTCAAGTTTTAGATGAAGTTTGCTGACATCATTCCCAGAACTAATCAGTTCAGCCCCAAAGCCAGCATCTTCAATTGCTTGAATAATGCAACTAGTATCAGTGAGGTTGGGATCAAAGTGAACCTTTGCTTCTTCAAGGGCTAGACCAACAACTGCATTTTTCACTCCATCGACCATTCGAAGAGCGCACTCAACAGACTCGGAGCAGCTGGTGCATGCCATTCCTTTTATCCTCAGTCGGCATACTGCTACATCTTGTTCTGGAAATTCAGAAACAGGGAAACCAGCGTCTTCTACAGCTTCCTTAATTTTTCTTGCCTAACATAAAAAAAAACATCATATGCTAAGTGCCCACAAGGCATACCAATACACTACTGAAAAACTTTGGTTTAGTAATCGTGTCTAACAAATGCTTTTGAAATTTTTTTAAAAGATGAGTTTTTTGAAGAAAGGCGAAAAAAATAGCATCTTAGAGAAGTCCTTAAACTTGACTCACATTAATGAGCACTGGTATATAATTGACTGCAGCTTGGCCTTCAATGGGCGACACTGTTGCACTCTTGATCCCATCAAGCTTTCCCAACACAGATTCAATGGTAGTTGCACAAGATGCACACTCGATATCCCCTATTTTAAACTTCACTGTTCTAATTCTTTTATCTTTGTTATCAATATCCAAAGGCTTCAACAGAGGCTCCTTCAGATTATCCATCACTTCAACATCCACTCCACCACTCGAATTGTTTAAGTCCATCAAACCTAAATTACAAAAAATAAAAAATAAAAAATAAAAAAAAACAAAACAAAAAAAAAACAGTAACATTACATAAATATGTTTCTGTATGTATGCATTCCAGAGCGTAAAGACAAATAATTTAGCAACAAAAAAAAGTAAACTAAAAAAGCAAAAACAATCAAAATTCATACGTCATATGCGCGCAATCAATCCATCAAACACAAGGAAAATCGATAAATAACAATACAAAATTACAAACTACAAAAAATAAATTAGTACAATTCATGATTTATCCAATCAAAACCAGGGGAAAAAGAAAAAAATGGAACATAAAAGATTAAATTGAATTGAACAAAAAATCATACACCAAAGAAATTCAAAGTTCCAAACAAAATTACAAACACATGGGCCTGAGTGCAAAAAGTACCTTTAATCGGCGTGGGAGACGACGAGAGCGGGCGGGTGAGTGGAGGAAAAAGCAGGGTGTGCTGAGAAGAAAAAGGGAAAAGCTGATATGAATCGGATTTCAGAGAGGGGACAAGGAAGAAAAATTAGGGTTTGTGAGGAAGGAAGGGGAGGTCGGCGAAACCGCAGAGAGAGTTTTGTTTGTGAGTTGTGCGCCAGAATGTTTGATTCCTCTGTGGGTGGGGGGTGGGTGCTTGTCGTTTATATAGTGCCCTGACTTTTTAAATTTTTGAAATTATAACGTCTTATATGTGATTCCCAATTTCCCACCGTTGTTTGTCAACTAGGCTGTCCCCACACATGCTTTTGGAAAGAGAGATTTTTCAATGTGACCATTATATAGGATAGTAAATCACGTGTCATTGTATAAATTGTGGGATATATGTGTTAAAAAGTTAATAACTTGAAAAATAAAATTTCTCACAACTTACATAAAAACACGTGGTGTACTACCTATATTCCGGTCACAACTAAAAATTTTTCTTTTGGAATGGTTTAGTTTTGTGCTCCCTTACTATACTCGTGTTATAATTAAGGTTTAGTATAGGGATTTTCACTCTGTACTCGTTATAATTAAGGTTTAGTATAGGGATTTTCAGGCTCTCGATTCGAGAGATTTTTTAGTGTCCGTCATGCGACCGATACACTAAATATCATAATAGAAGATGATTTGGAGTTTTGCTTTTTTACCATGTTTATTTTGATGTCAACATCATATTATAACAACTTCATTCATTTTTTTTTGGAGAAACACAACTTCATCAATAAGTGTGGAAAATTGTGACAATTTTGGAATCTTCAAAGATTCTATTAACCAAATGGAAACGTGTAGGGCTAGTTACATTTTACACCTTCAAGATTTGATGTGATTTTTAAATTGGGTCATGAGGTTTTAATTTTCTCATATTGCTTCTAAAAATGTTGAAATTGTGTCAATTTACACTTTGTGTATATTTGAACGTCTAATTATGTATTAAATTGATGAGTTTTTTAGACGATGTGATGCAAATGTGGTTTACATGTCAATCGAGTTGCGGAGTTCATGCACACCATGTCATCAATTTAATAAAGACAAAAAACGTAAATTGATTCCATTTCAAACCTTAAAGGGCAATATTAGAAAATTGAAACATCGTGACCCATTTTAAAAATCAACATGAAAGGTGCGAAATATAGTTAATTGTATAAATATTTTTCCTTTTCCTAAAGAAAAAATGTATAGCTAATATATAGAATAAAATTGTAGCTTAATTGTATCTAGGCTTTAATATTGGTTTTTTTTCTCCGTTTTAGCTTCCTCAACTTATAAAAAATGTCTATTTTGGAAAACCTTGTACTCAAATGTAGGGGTCAGTAGCATTCGTGTCGTGTTTCTCGTGTTCGTGTCATACCCGATAGCTTAACGGATCGTGTCGTGTAATACCCATTAAAGTAAACAGGTAATATGACCCGACCCGAAATCAACCCATTAATATTATCAAGTAATATGACCCGACCCGTTACATGTTATGAAAAATATTTTTTAAATCAATAAAAATGAAAATGAAAAACATAATTTGACCCAAACAATTGTAAAACATAATATTAAATTAATATATACATACTAAATTTCGGAGTTGACCCTTTCATGAAAGTTGTAAAGCTTTTCATTACGAGTGATTACATTTTTCACACTTCTACAATAATTATTATTAATTTTGCACTCAAATAAAAAACACTGTTCATGAGATTTGGAAGGTTTTCAAAATCTAAACGACGATGTAACCATCGTCTAAGCATTGAGTATGCAATTATGAACGTTTATTATGCTTTCACATCTTTCAGACTTATACATTAATGATTATGAGTTTTGTTATAGTTTTAAAAATTCAAACGATCATATAGCCATCCTCAAAAAGCGTAGAGGATGTGACTACGAGCGTTTGCATATTTTTTCATATTTTTTAATATTTTTTTTCATATTTTTTGCACATGTAAATTAATTATTATAATTTTTTTAATGTGTTTGATATCTTTAAATTACTTGATATTTTTATTTTTAATGTGTTTTATGATTTTTAATCTCAATCTTTGCCTATAATATACTATAAAAATAAATAAATAAATATATAAAACTTAAAATTTTAAATTTATATAGAATAATAATTAATAACAATATATACATATTCATTATATCTATTGTATTTTATACTAAGTTTTTTTTACTAGTTTAAAAAATTAAAATCTTCAAAATAACTTTTTTCTTATCGTGTCAAAACAGGTTACCCACATGTCATTCTCGTGTAAACCTGTTAAAGATCCGTTATTAGCAGGTTATTATTGTGTGACCCGATAATGATCCGATTAGTTATCGTGTTAACCCGAATCCTGTTATTTTCGTGTCGCTTACGTGTCGTGTTAACAAGTTATGTAAGAAATTGCCAGGTCTAGGTCGGTCAGCAGAATTACCTAGAATATTCCACTTGTGACTCATCACCGATGCTTGGTCAACAGAATTGTCTAGAATATTAAATTAACAGAAAGTCATTGTCTTGCTCACCAAGTCATGAATTAAAGAAAGGAAGGAAACGTAAGGGTTAGGTTTTAGATTAAAATTGGACGTTAAGAACAAGAACAAGAAAGAGAAAGTTTGAAAATTTCAAGTTGGGAGATATAAAATCGGGTAAAAGTTTAAACTCGAGAGGCAGTAAATTGAAAAGGAAAACTCTAATCACCAGGGAGAATATAAATGATATCCTTATTCTAAACTACACTAAGAATAGTGAGAAAAAGGGAAATTTTATTTAAACTCATGCAACCTCTTTTTACACCTAACTTAAAATTTTGAATATTAATGTCTATTTTACCCTATTGCATAATTACTATTAAGTACAAAATGAAATTAATAATAAAACTTAAATTTATCAATAAACCCAAACATTATAATTAAACCCTACTAGCTAAAACCCTAGAAAACCGAAGAAGGTGAAGCCGGTGTCTCTTTTCTTCCCCAATGCTTGCACGTTTTGTAGCAGATAGAAGAGAAAGAAGAAGAACCCAGGTACCAAATCCTGCTCACCTTTTTTTATTTATTATTGAATTGCATATTTCTCTATATTTTTTTGGTTAATTTGTCTCTTTTTCCCTCATTAACTTTCCGCAATGGAGGAGCATGTAGTTCTGGGGTCTGGAACCCTGATGGATGGTTTACCAGTATCTTCTTCAAACTCTCCACGGTCTTCCAAGCTTCTATCTCCACAGAGACTTCCTCGGCACCTCCACTTGCATTGTCCTCGTGATGGCGTACTGTCACCACCTAATCACTCCTCTGAACTGCAAAAGGAAGCTCACAAACAAGAACAACGTCCTCGTCCTTTATCTCAAGTTCAAAGAAGGTAGAATGCTCAATGATGAGCGTGTAGGGACTCAACCTATCGTCAGTATTAACATGAAATAGGGAGTAGAATTTCGGAACCAGGAAGGCCTTCAGGTTGTCTCTCAATCTATCTAACTCCATCCTCAGCTGGGTCAAAGTGTGGAAGGTGTTGACCTGCACCAGAACGACAGGCAAGTTTACTCCTCGAGGAGCCTTCAGCCCAATCTGATTGCCTTGTATTGCTTGCAGGCCTTGTATTGCTTGTATTGCTTGCAGGCTTAGTAAGAGTTGCCAAGGCTATCCGATCACATAGGCCGCGGCCTTTTGCCGTTGCGAAGCCTTCAAAGACTCTCGCTTTCTGACAGAAATGTCATTGGGTTTATAAACCCTGATCGCCAATCTGGGTCGGTCCCAGAGGGGTTTCCCTCAGGGTGGTTTTTTCGCCAAACTTCTAAAAATCAAATGGGTGTAAAAATAAATCCACATATTGAATTGAGTTTATGGAGGTATATTAGGTATTAAATTTGGGTTTAAAAAGATATTAATAGTTTAGTTAAAAATTAAATGGGTGCAAAGAGTAAGTTGAGTGTAGAAATAGGTTAGATAGGTTTAAATAAAATTTCCCTGAGAAAAATTTGAACTCGAGAGGCAGTGAATTGAAAAAGAAGACCGTAACAACCAAGAAAAATAGCTAGTGTTTTTTGTTATGAAATATTGGACCAATTTATAATCACTCCTAAAGGTTGGATAATTATTCGTACTTAATATTTTTGCTGTGAATAGCATTTTTCGAAAAATGATTTGTCTAAGTCAAGAGGAATGCTAGTGACACGCTAGACACCATCTATCTTCTCTGTTTTTTTACCATTAATATTGTAATTTTGGATCCACAAACATAAAGTCAATGGATTTTAAGGTCAATGTTTGCAATATTGCCACTATCTCTCCCTATATTCCTTTTTATTATTTCAATTTAGGTGAATGTTTTTTCAAAACCAAAATCATAATTAACAAAGTGGACTAAACTTGAAAGAAAAAATAATTTTTGAGAAGCATATAAGTTGAGAGAAACGAAGAAAGAAGATGGTCCTAATAAGACTTGCATGCGTGTATTGTGTTGCGAGTTATATATTAGTTAGAGTGTAAATAGTAGTTTATTGTCCTACATTGGTGAAGTACATATGTAATACCAATTGTAACTCTTATATATACTCCACTTTGGAGATTAATGAATATATAAGAAATTCTCAAATATTGTCATATATATTTTTGGTATTTACCATGTTTAGTTTAATATTGGTATTTACTATGTTTAGTTCAATATGGCATCAGAGCAGTTCGCTCTTGGTAACCTGTGTGCTTTAATTTTGTGCTCACATTTTTCGTGATTTCCTTCAAAAAAAAAAAATGTGAATAGTGGCGCGCTACAGTACAATGCGTGAACAGTGGTCTGCTTTGTGAATAGTGGTCCTCTACAGTGCCGAAAACAGTGATTGCTACAGTGCCATGAATAGTGCTCTACTACAGTGACGTGAATAGTCTCTGCTACAGTGTTTGGTAAATTGTTTTCATTCCGCTGCGTATCTTTTGTGCCTTTATTGTTCGTGATTTTTGTTCAATGGCTCAATATAATCATAGTGTTGTTATGCATCTTGGTGGAACAAATAAATGGATAATAGATACTGGGGCCACTGATCATGTGACTAGTGACCATAGAGTGTTTGATGAGTTATGTGACTATGTTCGTGATCTGTATGTTACTAGTGCAAATGGAGCACCTTCTCCTGTGAAGGGTGAATGCACTATCTCTCTAACTCCAACCTTATCATTGGT